CATTACCATTCGTATACTCTACCACTGGACCACCGTGGCTTGTAAGTGGTAAATTATGAGTCTGACAATACCTTGGTCGAAGGTTCGCGCCCACCTCACAGCCCTGGTGGATTATCTCATTGATATATATCAATTTAGTGTGATTTCTGATTGTTAATCATTTTAATATATTTCAGATACACTTGATCCTGATGGTAGTGATGGCCTTCTCGGCCCTAATGGGGCCAGCTCGAGCCCTCCCTGACCCCTTAGCCCTGGCTGACCCTGGGCCTAATGCTCTTGCTGACCCCTTAGCCTTGGCTGATCCTGGTCCAGAAGCCCTTGCTGACCCTAGACACGGGTGGTGTTGGCCCCACGGAGACCACTGGCACTGCCACCCCCGCAGAGGGTGATGTCCACCTGCCTCCTCACCTCATCCCTACACCAACAGCTTCCCGGATCCATATACCGCTTTAAGGTTCTTTGCCACGGTGTCTCACTTTGCTTAAGCAGCTTTAGGCTATTATTTTTTGCTTCTGGAAAATGTTAAATTGGATAATTATTCATTGGAAATAAACATATATAAGTAGATTATATGATTGTTTTATTATTATCTGCATTATATTGTTGCGAATTGTAGGTATATCTGAGAGCCCTCACGAGGCAGTTCTGTGAGTCTTTCAGTCTGTTCGAGGTTGAAGGCCTGACGCCTGGAGGTAGTCTCACTCAATTCTTATCAGCAATTGCTCTTGGGTCCATCCATAGACAGGTCGGTGTTGGCTTTAGTGAAATGAATTCCACTTGGCACAGTGATCCTGTCGACCCAAGCATGTGGGTGTGAGTATCAAGTGTGAGTACATACTGACCCATATGTTTCACGTGTGTCATTATGTACGTGTGTCATTATGTACATGTGCCAGTATGAATCACGTGTCAGTATGAATCGCATACTATGTGATTCATACTGTGGTATGTGTCACTTTGTGATGTGGTATGTGTCACGTTGCCACCTACCCCTGTCCACAAACACACCTGCAGTACCCTAGTGTGAGGAACAGTAATAATACATAACATTTATTAGGACGAAACACTATATGTAAGTTAAAAACATACGAGGATTGTCTCATCAGATTTATATTACATTGTTTCTCTTATCTCACTGTATATATATCCGGCTTCATCCCTTCTCTCTCTCTCTCTCTCTCTCTCTCTCTCTCTCTCTCTCTCTCTCTCTCTCTCTCTCTCTCTCTCTCTCTCTCTCTCTCTCTCTCTCTCTCTCTCTCTCTCTCTCTCTCTCTCCTCTCTCTCTCTCTCTCTCTCTGTGTCTCTCTCCTCTCTCTCTGTGTCTCAGTCTCTCTCTCTCTCTCCTCTCTCTCTTTCTCTCTGTGTCTCTGTCTGTCTGTCTGTCTGTCTGTCTGTCTGTCTGTCTGTCTGTCTGTCTGTCTGTCTGTCTCTCTCTCTCTCTCTTTGTCTGTCTCTGTCTCTCTCTTTCTCTGTCTCTCTCTTTCATTCTCCCCAGGTGTGGTCGTTCAACCTGTGGCTCCTACGACAAGTCCGCAACATCTGGTCATCTACTGAGCCGGCTTGTTCTGTGTGCCGGATATCCCCGTGCGCCGGAAACGTAACAGCCGTGACGCCAGGGGAATGAAAGTATCGTCCACAGATGGGGCTGTGAGCGGCGGTGTCCTGGCTGGGGTCACCAGTTTCTCGCCACAGTTCAGCCAGTGTCACCCGCGTCCAGTGAGGTGACGCTTGACTCGAGTTGGTGTCTTTCTCGCGGTCGTCGACGCCTCTATTTGGTGTCGTTCTCGCGGTCCTTGACGCCTCTATTTGTTGTCGTTCTCGCGGTCGTCGACGCTTCTCTTGGGGTCGTCTGACCGATGACACGACGACTTCGAAAGGTTCTCATTACAAGTCCTGAGAAGGTAAGGTACTTATCAAGAGAAAGCACCTGGAATGGGTATGATGACAGGAAGGGAGATGGAATAAGATTGATGGAACGGTGCTCAATCGCTTGAACCAACAGGGATTTGAACTACGATCTTGTCATAAGAAAGAACGTTGCATTTTTTTAGCGTCATATGTGCCTAAATCTTGTATTTATCGGTTAAAGTGGTATATTGCAAGATCTGGCCGTGTCCCGCAGGCTGGGGTGGAGAAGATGAAGCTGGTGACGGGAGCTGGAGCCCGACCGCTGGTAGTGGTGTTGGCAGTGATGGTGACAATAGTGGAGATGAAAGATGCAGCCGCCCGCATATACAATAGTGGTGAGTGATAAGAATCCAGCCACCATTCCTTAAACCTTTCTGTTTCTTTCTGCATTTATCCTCCGTAGAAGCTTTTTTTTTTAGGTATATATGCACTACAGGTGTCTGAAGATGCATGTGTCCAGCAGAGCTGTTTAATCACTAATGTTATCTATCATGATATTGAATGAATAAGGTTTCCCACATGCGTGAATGATAATTACCTCCGCGTAACTACCCAATCATAACTATCACCCAATACGTCACAGTTTACACGGAATCGACCAATCGCGAGAACGGACTTGAGTTATGGAGTGCGCTGAAACCCCCAGGTGCTGTATAATAAATTTTGTGAAATATTTTAAGAGCATTTTGTATTATCTCAAATACGAAATAAAGTTTGCTTAATTGTTCTTTATTTATTTTTCGAGGGAGAGGGACTACTTAATTTATATTTAGTTGAAAACACTCAGGACTCGTCTAGTTGCTCACCTAGATGTGCTTGCGGGGGGTGAGCGCTGGCTCTTTGGTCCCGCCTCTCAACTGTCAATCAACCAGTATTACATATTGATTGTTGAGAAGATCAGTCATGCCCACTGATGCTTGCGAGGTCAGTGTTGCAAATCTCTAGTATGAACTAGAGACTATTGCAAGCTAGTGTAAGATATGATTTGAAATGTAAAAAATATAAAATATAGATTTTGTAAGTTGATCAATCACTAAGAGATCAATCTTATATATTACTCAACTCTGCCGAACAAAATTTAGAAAACAATCAAGTTTGTACGAGAAAGTCATTTTTTGAGATAGAAATATCTGAAAGAAATATCTCAATTCGAAAGTAAAACTTTGACCTGAGCAAAAACTTGGAAAAGTGACACTATACATATTTTGAATAGATATAAAGAACACAATATTCAGTTATACAATATTGCCCAACTGTTTCTGTTCTTAATTTCTTAAATGGAGCCTTTTGCTGCTTTTATAATCGCTATATTAGGTTCTTTTTCTGTAATAATTCGTACATATTTACGAACAATCCTGCCTGCACCTTTCCCATCAGGTACCTTTTCCATGGGTACCTTTCCCCAACGTTACCTTTGCAACGGGTACCTTACTCAGGGGGATACCGTCTGCTGGTTACCTTTTCATTGGGTAGCTTTCCCATGGGGTCCCCTTTAACAGGGGGGGGGGGTACTTTTCTTAGGGGTACCTTTTCCAGGAAGGTACCTTTCGTAGCTGGTACCTCTCATAAGGGCAATCTTGTCCAGGAGTACCTTTCCCATCCTACCCACATGTAGTGACCTTATCCACCATGTAGTGAACTTACCCTCTATGTAGTGACCTTACCCACCATGTAGTGACCTTACCCATCATATAGTGACCTTACCCACCATGTAGTGCCCTTACCCACCATGTAGTGACCTTACCCATCATATAGTGACCTTACCCACCATGTAGTGACCTTACCCACCATGTAGTGACCTTACCCACCATGTAGTGACCTTATCCTACATATAGTGACCTTACCCACCATGTAGTGACCTTACCCACCATGTAGTGACCTTACTCACCATGTAGTGACCTTACCCACCATGTAGTGACCTTACCCACCATGTAGTGACCTTATCCTACATATAGTGACCTTACCCACCATGTAGTGACCTTACCCACCATGTAGTGACCTTATCCTACATGTAGTGACCTTACCCACCATGTAGTGACCTTACCCATCATATAGTGACCTTACCCACCATGTAGTGACCTTACCCACCATGTAGTGACCTTACCCACTATGTAGTGACCTTACCCACCATGTAGTGACCTTATCCTACATATAGTGACCTTACCCACCATGTAGTGACCATACCCACCATGTAGTGACCTTATCCTACATGTAGTGACCTTACCCACCATGTAGTGACCTTACCCACCATGTAGTGACCTTACCCACCATGTAGTGACTTTACCCATCATATAGTGACCTTACCCATCATATAGTGACCTTACCCACCATGTAGTGACCTTACCCACCATGTAGTGACCTTACCCACCATGTAGTGACCTTACCCACCATGTAGTGACCTTACCCACCATGTAGTGACCTTATCCTACATATAGTGACCTTACCCACCATGTAGTGACCTTACCCATCATATAGTGACCTTACCCACCATGTAGTGACCTTACCCATCATATAGTGACCTTACCCACCATGTAGTGACCTTACCCATCATATAGTGACCTTACCCATCATATAGTGACCTTACCCACCATGTAGTGACCTTACCCACCATGTAGTGACCTTACCCACCATGTAGTGACCTTACCCACCATGTAGTGACCTTATCCTACATATAGTGACCTTACGCTCTATGTATTCTGTGTTTTATATTTCTAATAAGATAATTAATATATTGCACATTTGCTGTATTATTTCATTTATGCATCTATCAAATCAATAAATCCATCTATTTATATACTCAGTTATATATGTGTGTATCATTGCATTTATCGGTATATGCCTGTCTATTCTTATATTTATCGGTGTGTCTACCATTTTATCTATCTGTATCTATCACGGAAATTTGTATCTGAATCTATATGTATCTGTCGTTGTGTTTATCTATCAGTATATATCTATGTCTGTACTCACCTGGATGTGCTTGTAGGGTTGAGCTAGGCTCCTGGTCCCGCCTTCCGAATATTCTTAGAATAATGCATTTACTCATTTCTCACGCTTTTAACATATTTATATATAAAATTCTGAGTCAAATTAGTTTCAACGATTTATGCATCTAACCTATTCCGTTTATTGACTGCTCTGACACTGAGAAAGTTCTTCCTGATGTTTCTATGACTCGTCTGCGTCTCCAGTTTCCATCTATGGTCCTTAGTTCAGTTCTTAGCTTTGAACAACGCTGCTTTGTCTATGTCAATTTCCCTTAGAAATGTATATGTTATGTCCCCATCACATCAATATGCATCTCAATCTAACCTTGACTCGAATCTTCTCATTCGTTTTGCATCATCTGGAAACACAGATATGAAGGAGGCAATTTTCTGTCAGGTCATTGACGGTAATTAGAAACGAGATGGGCACTAGAACCGACCCTTGTGGTACTTCGCTCCTATCCTCTCTCCACTCTGATGTCTCTGCTTTCACTGTGACTCTTTGCTTCCTTCCTGAGAGATACTCTCTGACCCACTTTAGAACTCTTTTCAGATACGTCACGCCAGCCTGTATCTATTTGTCCGTGTCTGTCTACCTGTCTGTATCTTTCTCTGTCTTCCTGTCTGTGTCTGTCAATCTGTGAATGTTTATCGTCAAGTCTTCAAGGCAACATGTCTATATCAATCCATTCATGAATTAACCCGGCCACTGAGGAAGGGATCGATGGCTGAAGCTATACAGACAATTATGTTTCAGACAATTATATACAAACAGACAATTAATAATGTTTCACTGGAAATAACTATGCGGTTTGTCCAAGTATGTAGAGAGCCATGACTCTTGATCTTTCTAGCCAGTCTTTCGGGAGTCACAGTATCGCAGATGTTGCTAAAGTCAAGTGACACAGTTACATCTATCCATTTGTATATTTATTCATCTCTCCATGACCCCAAGGTGCAGCAACCTGCTACACGGAGGTTGACCGAGGACTGAGGCTTCACAGTCACAGGGTGGACAAGTATGTGTCTGTCAGTTCCCTCAAGGACTGCCAGAGGGCCTGCGACCTCGCCTTCTTCTCCTGCATGTCCTTCTCCTACAGGTGAGAGAACTACAGGAACCCTTACAGTAGTCAGTGATGAAGACTTTATAGTGGTGGGTGTTAGAGACCTCAATAGTAGAAGTAGAAGTTGTAGAAAACACCTCATCTGTCCAGCACGCTGGACTTGTGATCCTGTGGTCCAGGGTTCGATCCCGGGCGCCGGCGAGAAACAATGGGCAGTTTTTTTTCACCCTATGCCCCCCCCTGTAACCGAGCAGTAAAATAGGTACCTGGGTGTTAGTCAGCTGTCACGGGCTGCTTCCTGGGGGTGGAGGCCTGGTCGAGGACCGGGCCGCGGGGACACTAAAGCCCCGAAATCATCTCAAGATAACCTCAAGATAGTAAAGCAACAACCATCTTTCCAATCATTTATCAACGTCTTTAATGAATCAACATTTATTTAATTGCTATTCAATGTATCCTTTGATATATTTATACACTTCAATCACCTTTCCAGACAATGTACCTTAACCTTCCTTAGTTTTTCTACACATAGACGGTTTATGTTTCCTTGGATTAACTTTTCGTCATCTGTACATGTTCCAGGAATTTTTGTAAATTTTGCAAAATGGCGAACGAACGGTAACTGAATATTATAAATGAGACCAAACAAACGGGGAATTAAATTGAAGAAATATATTAGATGTCTTGCAATAACGTTGCAAGATATATTTTTTGGCATAAGGTCCCTGTTAATCCTCAGACTCTCGAAAGCTTCTCGCTTCCAGGTTTATAATTTTTGCCATTCAAGTGTTATCGGGATAAACCTTTAACATCATCAGAACTCGGAACCCATTTAAAGCTTTCGTTCACTTGAAAATCTAAATAGTCTTGTTTAAACTTTCAGTCTTCTGAATATATTTCCCCGTACTATTTTGATATCCTCGTAATATTGATTTTCAGTCCAGATATTAAATAATTTACAAATATTAAATAAAAGCGCTCGAGGACAGAGTCCAGAGGTACTCCATTTACAATGATTTCCTACTCAGACTTGGGTCCATTTATATTAATAATCTGTTTCACTGGAAATAACTAGGCGTTTGTCCAAGTATGTAGAGGACCATGACTCTTGATCTTTCTAGCCAGTCTTTCGGGAGTCATAGTATCGCAGATGTTGCTAAAGTCAACTTACACAGTTTCGTAATCGTCGCCATTGTAACAAGTCTTAGATACACGCTGCTTCCTCAGCGACTATCACTCTTCCTTGCTTCCTTAGTGACTACCACTCTACCCTCTTAGTGACTACTACTCTATCCCTCTCAGTGACTACCCCACTCGTGAGAGGGAGAACTGCCTTCTCTCCCGCGAAGACTCCAGGACCCTCAGCCTCAGGAATCAAAGAGATTTCTACCACGATATCGACTTCGTCTTCTACGAGCGATCGTCCGGACGAAACTGTCTTGGCGCCAACTATGGCAGCAACTATGGTGTCAACTACGGCAGTAACTACGGCGCCAACTACGGCAGTAACTATGGTGCCAACTACTTCGGCTACAATCGTGAGTACTTTGAAGTAGAAATGAGCTGTGTTTTCTCTGCTCTCTCTCTCTCTCTCTCTCTCTCTCTCTCTCTCTCTCTCTCTCTCTCTCTCTCTCTCTCTCCCCCTCTCTCTACATTTTTTTTAACCCAATACATACTTCTTGTATATCTCTATTTTGTTTTTATTAAACAGCTTAAATTTTCCTCTGAATTAACCTTCATTCAGTTGTGTGGGGAACTGTAAAGTTGATTCGCAAGGAAACTCATACTCTCGTTATTCAGGTACTGAACCCAGGGCCCACAGGCTGATGAGTCGGGTACTGAACCCAGGGCCCACAGGCTGATGAGTCGGGTACTGAACCCAGGGCCCACAGGCTGATGAGTCGGGTACTGAACCTAGGGCCCACAGGCTGATGAGTCGGGTACTGAACCCAGGGCCCACAGGCTGATGAGTCGGGTACTGAACCCAGGGCCCACAGGCTGGTGAGTCGGGTACTGAACCCAGGGCCCACAGGCTGATGAGTCGGGTACTGAACCCAGGGCCCACAGGCTGATGAGTCGGGTACTGACCCAGGGCCCACAGGCTGATGAGTCGGGTACTGAACCGGGTGGTACTTCAGACGCTAGCAAACAAAATGCTACGAAATCTATAAGGCTAAAACCCTGCATCTTACACGCCGCGTGGTTGAGACCGTGAGCACTAATTGCAGCAAGGGTAGTTGTAGTAACAGTAGTTGTAGCAAGAGTAACATCAGTGACAACAATTGGGATAGCAAAATGAATATAGGTTCATGTTGCGGCCACTATGCAATTGACAAAGGGATGAGCGCCGCACGAGGTCAACTGGAAACCTTGAAACATATAATAGCGTTAGTCACTCTTTGTGCACATTTCGGACGCGCCCTTTGTGACACGAGAGAACCCCCGGATTTCAGATAGAAAAAACACCGAGCGACCTTTGGAGAATAGTGGTGCTCGTACCTCCCTTGAGGTCCTGGGGTCACCTGGGGTCACTTGGGGTCTCCTGGGGTCACTTGGGGTCCTGTGACATCACGACCTGTCCTGATCGTCCAGGCTATGGCTGTCCCTAACCCATCCTGAAGCTATGCTCGTCTAAACTGCAATCTTCCTAGGGGTGCATGTGTGAATTTTGGTCGTATATTTTAATAAGTATTTTCTGAAATACAAGTTATTGTGTTATATATTTTAGTTGTGTAGATAGGCCTACGGTAGGTGAGAGTAGGTGTTTTAATTGTTTTAATTAGTGTTCTAGTATGGTAAAACTTATGAATGATCCTTTAGGGATGGAGTGCAGGTGGTATGTCAGAAAAGTGGTAGAATTCACTTGTTTAGAAAATATTCGTTCTCGTAGACAGAGACAAATTCAATTGGGTAATTTAAATACATTTACATTATTGTAAATGTATTTAAAAGTGGCAATATTTTATTCACAAAGGCCCTTTTTTAATTAATTATTTCTCTCTTTCTCTTTACTCTGCTTTATATTCATTCATCTGATGAATATATGAAGGAGTGTTTTTAGAGAAAATATTTTTCCTTCGGTAAAACTGCCACTTTAACAACACATGATCAGCAAACAAGGAAAATATCCGTCTAACTTGATCAAACTTGATCAGATTTGATCCAACTCCCAGACTGCTCTTGAATAACTGTAGATTCAAGGTATCGGGGAAGATATAGGATAGTATTATTACAAGTGGGAGCTTATTACAAGAGGCAGCTTATTACAAGTGGCAGCTTATTACAAGTGGCAGCTTATTACAAGAGGCAGCTGGCTAGTATCGAGGTCTGCCATCATCAGTACTGTACTGGGAGTGTTGGCGACACAAGCTTTCTAAAGCACCTGACGTAGTTATATACACATGTGCATAGCAGCGTAACCGAACAAAGATGTGGGATACGAGTGAACACCCTCATCAAAACACCAAGAATGAAATACAACAAAAATAAAGCTTTCGATTTCAAAGGAAATATTACAAGAGTTTGCAGAATCGGGTGTTAGCTCCTGGTCCTCGCCTGTCTAACTGTCGGTGGTGTAATGCAATTAATCGCGTCCCAGTTTTGTTCGTGTCTGCCTTTCTTACTCTAGATGACGTTAGTCTATTTTTTATAGTTTCAGTTTGCTTCGTTTGCTCACTGCCTTTACGATTAAGAAGTGTTCCTTCACATCTCTCTCAGTCAATTGCGTGTCTAACTTCCATAAATGTCTTCTCAAAGTGTCCTCCCGAGCCAAATTATTTTTTATTACATTTTTCGATATTAATTGAATGGCTGGATCACGTTCTGTTTATATTTTCTAAAAGCTACATTAGGTTAAGATCCATCAGTATATACTCGTAACTCAGTTCTTCTAATTAATCAGTGAGGAGAGCTGCTTACTGCAGAGTTTATCTGAAGCTTATATGTGAGTCTCTTGTGTGAATTGTGTAGGAAAACCTTCTGGCAGTCAAGGTTGATGCAGGTAGCCCATCCTTCTTTCTCATGTGTCACCAATATCATCATGTCACTGATCTCCAAATTGTTCGTTAAACATAATCCACCATTCCTGAATCCAAGTTAGTGATGGAAATTTATATAAATCCAACTTTTCTAAATATTCTATTAGCGTTTTCTTAATCCGTCTCTCGATTACCGAACATGTAATGCTTCTTAGAAATTCCTGCCTGTATTTGATTGGCTCCTATCACTCTCCTTTCTTGTAGATTGGTATCAAGTTTGGCCTTTCCACACCTCTGGCAGTTCACACCGTTATAATAAAGAGTTGAAGACAATAGTAAAGGATTTACTCAATAGATCTTCTACTTTATTAAATATACATGATGAATTTCCGTCTAGTATTAAGGCTTTTGTTCCATCCAAAAACTCCAAAACGTCATCTCCCTCTCTGGGGGTCTTTTCTAAGTTTACTGAATCCTTTATTCAAGAGAGTCTGCTCTTCAAAGTTAATTCTGATTTCTGGTCAAATTTTGAAGATTTATCGAATCTTCTTGTTGAGAACTTTAGAACTTTATTGTGACCATTTGTATGTTCATCCTCTCTAATCCTTTTTCACATCACCTGATTATTTACAGTCGTGTTCCTTACGATCGTGCAAGTGTATGGGATGGTCCTTAGCCTTAGTTGCTATATCATTCTTATAAGTCCAGTTCAGTCAAGACGGGAGTTCTTCCGTCTTGACTGGAATGTATATGTGAGAATAAATATATATGCAAATGCTCGGATTTCTGAATATGAAAACAGGCACGAGAGAGAGAGAGAGAGAGAGAGAGAGAGAGAGAGAGAGAGAGAGAGAGAGAGAGAGAGAGAGAGAGAGATAGAGTGAGAGAGGGAGAGAGAGAGAGAGATTGCATGTTTAGCCTCCAAATCCCAATTACAGGCGATACTGTGAAGCTTTTTTAACTCCAAGTTATGGCGAGTGTGGTCATTCAAAAATGACCCTCCTAATGTGATGGCATAGAGTGCCATATCAGATACAACGAGAGGCGGTCTGTTCCGTATATCCACTGTCCACACGGCTCCGCTGCTACACGGGTGGTTACTGAGGACCAGGCGAGGGAGAACAGCCCCTGTGTTCCCCCGCTACAGAGGTGCTCGCCGGACACACAACAAGGGAATCGAACCCCTCAGACTCTATCTCTCTAGGGGACCCGCGAGCCTCCGCCCACATGATCCGTGGCTCCATCAACCAGTTCCGTTTACAACAATTTAACGCCCAGTTCCCCCAGCTGTCATTATCGCATCATAGCCATTGTTAACCAGATTGTTTGCGATGTAAACATAGCCAGCTTCACTATAAAACATTTATGTAATCAATGTTTAGGTGATGTGAAAAATTCGTGTAAATGTTATAGAATTCTGGCGAATATTTCGTCCAAGTTGAGTCGCGGGGAGCCAACCCATCCAGTTGAGGAAGACAAATGTTTTGTGGTCGCGTTTATAGTCCTGGATGTCAGTTATGTGGGTCAAAGTTCCTGCTGTATTAAACACTTTTATTTATATTGTATTGTCGTTAAAGTTTCTGCTGCCTTATACAAACTTTCATGAAAATACAATATTAATGAAAGTTTCTGCTGCAATATACGAACTTTCATTGATATTCAATACATAATACTCTGCAAACTGAGATGCCTGAATGCCAGTGTGTCCGTAACGTTTCAACACAAGAGAGAGAGATACAATTCTTACTGTTACACACTTTTTTAACGTTGACCTTTATAGTACTTGTAATTGTGTACGGATTTAGGTCTTCTTAATAAGACGGAATGAATTTTTATCTTAGCGATTAGCGATAACGTAGAGCACAGTGGGGGGTATCTCCCTGCAGGGTATACTGAGTGAAGGGTATTCTGAATAGTATACTGAACCGTCTTCCTGCAATGTATACTGAATCCTCTCCCTGCAGTGTATATTGAATCACGTCTCTGCAGGGTACACCGAGTCATATCATTGAAGGATATAATGAATCATCTCCCTGCAGAGCACACTGTATCACCTCTACAATGAACTGTGATACCTGAAGCATCTTCACCGCCCATCCCGGCGCACCACTCACCAACTCCCAACTACCCTCTTAGCTAGATTCAGGCGTTGGGACCGCGTTAGGAACTAGAAAAAGAAGGCATTCCTCCGAGTTTCTTCGTGACTACTCGCGCACTCTGTAATTAGGAATCATAGCGTGAACGTGTCAGAGGAATAATTCACTCTGAGCTCGACTCGTAATACTTGCATACACAAAACATGGTAATTTGTCCTTGTTGTCAAGGTCGCCGGAGGAGGAGGAGTCCACACCTCACCTGTGTACGAGTCATCTTCCTCCTGCCTTCCATCCTGCCTCTCATCTTCTCACTCTCTCCCTCTCTTCACCATTTCTTTTTCTATCCCTCAGTCTCTCCATCTCACTTTCATCCCTCCTTCCCAGCACCCTTGTTATGTATTCTTTGATTTGCAGTATCAGTGGTTAAACAATTTGAACCTAGTAATAGTGATGGTTTTAGAAGTA